AATAGGCCATTTTACAGTTGTGTACTTAGTTGCCAAGCCTTTGATTCAGAGTGAGGCTGAAGGTGACCTTGTTGTGATAGAGACCTGTATCAACTTAGCATGATAACAAAGTGATTTACATTTGAAAGGCAGCAAGGTTTGTATCATAACAAGGTCACCCCTAGCCTCACTCCCATTCAAAGGCTTGGCAACCAAGCACACAACTGTAAAATGGACTATTCTTTCTTTGACTTGTTCAAAATCAGACATTCTATCAACTATGTACATAGCAATAAACTTCACCTTTTCAATCCGAGGATTTTGTAATAGTCTCGTTTCTTTGATTGTTTGAGTAATTTCTGTGCTCTGTCGAGTCCTTCTTGAACCTAAACTCAGTTTAAATAAAAACAACAACAATAAACAAATGAAAACAAATGCGAGTCATTTTTAGTTGTACCGTGATCGTGTTTCCAATCAGTAACAGATTCTCACAGATCAAAACAGCTTCAAGCTACTTTTAAGTTAAAGCTGTTCTCCAGTTTTGACGTACTACAATACTTTTCGAAAAACAGCTGCTGCAATTTCTCTGACGATACCACTGCCAGGCGACTCTTGAAATAAGATCTTCCTGTTTGTGCAAGAACCTAGGTTAAGCGCACCTCAACAAGCTGAAAACCTATTCCTTCATTATCCACATTAAACTTCAATGAACCTCGTCTTCTTGTATTTCCATTAAAAAGCATTTAAAGTGAACGTGGCGCCAACAAAACAAATCTCAAAGGCCAATCCGAAAAAAAGGTTAATTACAGCAGGAGCCAATGAGAAGTCAGAGTAAACAGTGGTAACCAGCGTCAAGCGCGGGAAAACGCGGCTGACCAAGTCGCTATTTGTTTCAGTTTTGTATCTGATTGGTTGAGAAAGTGGCGCGATTTTTCTAAACCAATCACAGAACGAAATTAAATAAAACTAATGTAACCCTGTATTACTAACGACAGCCAATACTGTTCATTCACGAGACATCCAGCCTAGGTCGTTGCAAGAAGAAGAATAGCTCTGACCACCCTACCTTGTGTAAGTGTTCGTTGATACTTTTTGCCTTCTGATAATCATTTACAGCTGCGAAATAAACCTCTACGTTAGTAAATAAAGCAACAAAGAGAAACACGACAAAAATGCCTTCCCAAAATCTGTATATCTGTCTATTGGTTTTCTTCTTTTTTTCGCCAATCAAATAACTCAAAATTTCACGTGATATGACACCTGCACGAGACATACAGCAAGTGCATGTGACAAGAAACTTGGTAGTGTGAAATACAACACGTTGCGTGACATTTAAAACGTCCAATACCAACTTTTGGTCTTAACATAACGACATGTTTATGTCCTAGCCGCGACAGGTAACCAACATAAGGAAATAAGGGAGTACCAATGTTCCATTACAAAACAATTTAAAAGAAATCTTCGTCGCTAAGAACAGTAAATTGGTGTCGACAAAGACGAGAATTCCGTACCTTCATCATACATCTCATTTAGTATATGTGCCTCTGCCCTGTCGCACAACGCATCGACGTCGTTCTCATCAATCTTCAACGCCTCGTTACATTCAGTAATGGCATCGTTGGGATTATGAAGCTAAAAGAAGAAACAAATTGAAAGAAATTGCGTAAAACAAAGGAGACGAAACAATGAACACAAAATTCAAGGACGGATTCCCGACGGAATTTCGTAAATTATCCGAAGACCTCCCAACGTTTATTACCCAATCAGAAAACAAGAAAACTCTCGTTCATTGTGTTGCTAAGTCACAATGCTAATGGACACTTTGTATTGGCCTGGTCTTCACCGAATAGCTTTGTAAGTTTCTTTTCTTTTAAAAAATTCTGGCCGACAAAAATTTTAGAAAAGGGTTTTTACAACAACAAACCTTGACGTGACAGTGGCATAGCTGACGTCTTGCCTTGCCTGCTAGTGAACGGATTTTAGATTCTGTTTTGAGAGCTTGTTTAAGTTTGGATATTGCTTCTTCATATCTGTAAAGAAAAGACGAAGACACACAAGTTTATTGGAAAATGGAGATAAGAGAAAGGAGATGAAAAATAGCAGAACAAAAGGAATCAGTGCTAAAAAACGAATTTAAGAAGGAAAAAATGGGTTAAAAAAAGGACAAACATTTTCAAGCGGGATTTTAACAATCTGCGAAAATCTTCTACATCCTAAGGTATCCTCCTTCTTTTACGGCTTACCTCCACCCCTCAAATCTTCGCTTATCCTAGAGAACAATTCTTCTAGGATTTCCTTCTACGTTTAACAAATTGGAGAAGAAGATAAAGACAGAGGTAACTTACTCTCCTCTGTTGATCAAATCTTGAGCTGCTTGCATCTGTTTATTCAATTTTTTTAATTTCTGTGAAAACAAAAAGGGTTCAAAATGTTTATTTGATTGGCTAACAATCATCCGCCAGCCAATGTTAAAGGTTATGCAGTTTTTTTTGTCTTTTTACCGAAACCTACTGCTTTGTTAATTGTAAAGTGTTCAACAGCGTAATTTAGTTAGTCCAGATGTAAAGAGATGTGACAAATGGTTGGTGCGCTGGACTTCATATCGAGGGGTCCTGGGTCGAGGCCTAAGTCCTAGCAAATTGTCTTTGATTTCATATTGATATTGTGGGTGAAAAATACGTCTTGACGACTTTTGGGAATTGAAGGTTTACACCCAAAAGGAGCTGATTCTTAGAAAGGAGCTGTTTTACCTTGTAAAAAGGAAAACAATCTTTGTGATCAGGATCAAGCTTAAGGCACTCACGAATTTCCCTGAAATTTTAAAAAAATAGGTTTGAAGATTATATATCGACCACAGAGAAAACAATCCAAAGGTTGAATTTTGCAAAGGGCTATCCTGTTCAGTCCACTGTTCCCTTTTTGTTTAGAATGTTAAAATGCTTATAACAAATCTTCATTAGCAGGGCTCAACACTAGTGGTAGCCAACTAACCACACACCTGTAGAAATTCAGTTTTGGCTAGTAGTTTTTGATTTCCACTGGCCAGTTTGGCTAGTAAACAAACTGAAATTGTTGTAACATCTAAGTTGTCACAAGCCACTTGGCTAGTAAGTTGAAAAGTTAGTGCCGAGCCCTGATTAGAACTGGATACTGGAAACAATTGAAAGTAAACAGCAAGAAAATATTTAAGATGTCCTTGGTCAAGATTTGTAGGAGGGGCCGAGGAAGGCTTCACCAGAATTCAGGAGAAGATTTGTAAATACAATACCTGTTGTGAAAAAATGTGTGTCAGCCATTGCATCTGTATTTAACTTACCTCAGTGCATCCTCCAATTCTCCCATTCCATAATGTAACTCACTGAGTCTAAGATATGCTGCTGTATTGTCTGGGATAAGTTTAGTGGTTGGCCTAAAATAACGATGCAAACCAACAATAACTAGAAGTCACTCTACACTTTAAGAGAATCTTCAAGACTGCTTTCCTTTTCAGGACAAGCCTGCCGTCATCCAGAAAATACACAATGAATGATGGAATAAACACTCTAAAAATTTGATACTTTCTATAAATTTGCAACTGCCTTACCAGAGCTTAATAAATGTATTGAAAATGTTTACCGTATTGTGTATTACCAGAAGCTTGAAAAACACTTACTTAATGTCTGAAATTGCATTGATGTAGTCCCCCAAGTTTTCATGGCAGTCAGCTCTCATTATTCTTAGTTCAGTATCCCATGGAGCCACCTGAGGGAGGGAAAAGAAACAAAAATCCTATGAAGGCTTGACTCTCATTTACGCCATAAAATGCCGTGCTGTTCAATAACGAAAATATGCTTGGATATTTGGCCACAGACTGTTCTGAGATGCAAATAGTTTTCCAAGAGCAAAGCTTGAAAACTATACATAAGCCTTTATCATTAAGTGCTTGTTCAAGGACAGCATTTATTCCAGGCAATGTTTATTTGCATTCAATATTTACATCAATAATAAGATACAAATAATTTGTTAATCAATATTAATCATTATTAGTGATAATTATTATCACTATTTAAAATTACCTCTATTGCTCTTCCCAAGAACTCTATAGCAAGTGGATAGTCTCCCATATTTATTGCATTTCTTGCCTCAGAGACATCTTTTCTGATTGGTTCTATAATGTTCAACTGGACAAAGGAGGAGAGAAAAAGAATGAAAAAATACTCAAGGTTAACTAAGACATGCTCAGGCAAAATTTATTTTCAAAAGGAAAACATTTTACATCAGATGGTTTAGTTTCAAGGCTACCGAATACCTGCTGCAGTGCTTCGGCATTATCAGGGTTTTTATGTAACTGCAAAGAAACATTACAAAAGGTCAGCAATCAATTGTCATTAATCTTAAAAATTTGTTCTTGGTTTCTACTCCAGGCTATGATTAAATCCAATACCCCTGCACCTACAGCTTAACTGGTAGGAATGTCAAAGGTTATGTATGAATTATGTTGAACAAAAGGTCCAACAGAAAATTGTAATTTCTCTTAACAAAGTACAACAAAATTCTTCAATGTGATTTGTACTTTCATTGCCACAAATAGCAAGTATGATCTAAATTCAGCAAAAGAATACATTTTTCCAGGCTTTGTAATGTGATGTAGCCATGTGGGATGTTGAGAGAACACAAGGAAAGCTGGTAAATCATGGGCTGAAGAGGAATAATTTCTAGGCTTTGCGAGCATTCTCCTAACATCTCATATGGCTTCATTACGTTAGAGAGGCCGGAAAAAATGTGTTCTATTGCTTTCCTGACATAACTATTTGTCACCAATCAAATGCAAGCTCTATAACATGATAAAGAGATTGAATTGACCAATCAGACAATGTTTACTGTTTATTATGTTATAATTTCTAAGAATGAATGACTGACAGAATGTTTGTATAACTGGATCAAATTGAAGATCACTTAACTCAAGCTAATATAAACAACAGCAAGAACACCAAGACGTAGTTAGTTTTTTTTAGCTTACCACTGCTTCATAATCAATATGTGCTTCATCTAGTCTTCCTTGTTTAAGTAAAACATTCCCTCTTTGTAACCGCGCCTGTTTAAACAAAAATTATTACTAATAGCTCATGGTACCTTTTACTCAACACAAGGAAGTAGTAAATCATAACCGAGTCATTTGAACCATTCTCAAGGAAATAGACTTAAAGTTAATAATAAATAGGAAAAATGAACTCTGATTCTGATCACTCTATTCCGAAAATATTCACAGGTAACTGGTAATAATCTTAGTCTTAGCAAACAATTTCACCAGTGTATTAAGGGGAAATTAAGGTGACAGTCATTCATTTTTTCCAGTTTTCCTATTTGTCATTAACATCCAGGCTAAGCTATCTACTATCAAAGACAGAGGTTGCGTATAAGAATGGAACAAATTGCTCACATTTTAAACTAGCTATTTGCTGAACTGGGCTACCCTGTCTAAATATTCCTAATAAATAAATTGATTAATTAAATATTCATTAAAAACGTTAAATTAAAAGTCCTAAAATTTTTTAAGTCTTTGAAAAATTCATTGTTTATCTTTCATGCAAGGTAAAGGCTTTCCTGGATGGGACAAAGGAAATTCAAAGTTGAATCACGAATTTTCCCTTACAGCCTTCCTTACAGAAAATTCTCTCTGCAAGATCCAAGAAATTTTCCTTATTTTCTGCTGAATGTGTACTTAATGAAAAACCTTTCCATTATATTTTTCTGTAAACATACCTGAAAAAAGTCAGGTCTTAGTTCCAGGACTCTGTCTAGATCAGGTAAAGCAGCTTTTGAGCGACCCATTGCTAGAAAAACTGTTGCTCTTTTAAAATATGTCAAAAAATTGTCAGGATCACCATCTGAAATAAGAAAGAAGAAACCTTGAGGTCTTCACTTCCAGGAGTAACCAAATCAATTTCTCCTTAAATATCAATAAATTTTACAGAAAAAGATGAAGAAAAATTTCAATATTGAAATATTGATCAACTTAACACCCAGTTCTCTGATGTACAAGTTATACGATTTTGTGCGGCTAATAGCTTGAAGAAGTGACATTATAATTGTGAAATTGAAGAACAATCGGAGCTCAAAATTTTCCAAAAGTCGTGTTGGTACTGTATAAATTAAGTTGTTTATATTGTAATTGATAAAACAAAGTTGGCAATTTTTGATTGGTTGAATTTTAAACCACGTTCGCGCCAATTTAATTCGCCCTCGGGATGATGTAAGAAAAGATATCATGTAATTCGAAAGACGCGGGAGAAAACTTTTTTCAGTGAGAGGCAATACAGGCCAAAAGAAAAATATTCAGATTCTTTCCGCTTCGAATAAATCTGCGAGACATAAAGAAATAGTAAACATGATTAAGTATACGTGATTTATTGCGATCGAGACGTCATCGTTGACGTTCGTTTGGCTGGGTTTAACTAACTCCACTCGATTTTGCAGTAAAACTTTCAAGTAATGCCATAAATTTTCTGGAACGTAACAACGGTATTCTAGGTTTTAAAAACAAAACGTTACGCTACTCAAGCAGGTAAAAACATTTGAGTTCACCCAAATAAATAACATCGACCGAAGTTCTAAACTTATTTATTGCACTGCATCGGTCTGGAAACTAAACTACTGCCATAAAAATTTACAGAAGTAACAGTTCACAGAGAAGCGGACAAATTGACGATTTAAAGCAAGGAATTTTCGGTAACTCTTAACAACTGTTTCATCACAGACCACGGTGGAAATTAGGCTAAACGCCGGTTTGAAATAAAAATCACTTACCAACCGCTGCATGATAGTGTACTAGAGCATCACTTAGCTGCCCATTGGCAAGCAATCTCTTGCCTTGTTCTAAATGTTTTTCGACTTCTGTTGCTGACAATTTGCTCGAAACTCCTGCAAGATAAGATCCAACTCACATCATCTTATGAGGCACGTCACCCAAATTCCCTCGTAGGAGAATGGACAAAATCCCCGCACAAAATATTAAATCTGATAATTTCACAGGACTTACCGATTATTTTCAGTTCCAAAATGATCAAAATTATATTCAACGATGTAAAAAGTTGTCCAAAACTACACATTTTGAGACTGACATGTATGTTTTGCCTTAAAATTTCTGTTTCCTATGTTTTAAGGAAGTGAACCGCGGTTCACTTTCAGTGTTGGCGCACACCGTCGTGGTCGCAGCTGATTGGTCGTCAATACGTTCCCAGACTTCTCTCAGAAGCCCGGTGTCATCCCATCCACTTATGCAGATATCCGCGTGATTTGTTTACACCCGGTGGGAATACCCGACACATCTGGAAAAATAGCGGAAGACGTGTTTTGCGTTGGAATGAAAAGGAAAAGTTCAGGGATTTTTCCATTCACATGGAAAAATAAAACAATAGTAGCAATGTTATGGATTTAATGGTTATGGATATTGGAAATTTTTTTCTCCCATTTTGTCACTGACAAGCCACTTTTAGTTGTAGACTTGGACTTGATGTCTTTTCAGTTGGTAAAGGGCTGAAAGCTTTACGGTTAGAACAAATTTAAAGACTAAACTTTTCCTATACTCCACAATCTAAACAAAGAACAGTGTAGATCAAAGATTGCAATTTTAAGCGAAAAATTCTCCATGAAGTCTCAGAGAAAAAAAAGCAATACTCCATTTTTGTGTAAGTTCTAATATACAACTAATAAAAAGGAAAGGACATTTTTTACAAGACAAACTTTCTTTTATTACAAAACTAATTTTTTAGTTTAAATTTGTCAACTGTCAAGCAAAATCACTCTTTTTCATCTTCCATAAATTTTCTGGGTGTCATAATACAACAGCAAAAAGTATATAAATAAAGCAATAATATATTATAAATCAAAATAACTTATCTTTACAGATAAATCATTATCACCCATTAATCTGAGATAATGACTCTATGTTTCCTTGCTTTAAAAAATGCAATACACTATTTTAATGCAAAAAAACTTTGACAGTGTTCAATTCCCAGGGAAGAAATATTTTTTCTTTGTTAATTAACATCTAATAAATAGAAGAGATCACTCATAACACAGTGCAAAGCTTTCTGAATCCTTAAACTCCCAAAGTTATCTACATGTAACTTCTCCTTATAATTCCAATATGATATCTTGCAAACAGGATATGAGAACATACAAGGTTGTCAGTGAAATGGTGTTATCTTGACGTGCAACTATAACAAAAAATGCTCCTGTCTAGGAAATGTAAGAGAATTTAAAGAGATAATTACTCATTGGATCCTGAGAGTTAAAGAGTTTAAAAAAAGTAAGAACCAAAGCTAGTTTGCAATCTATGCATAACAAATTGTATTGTGTACTGGAGGAACTACCAAGCCAATCAAGAAGTAGGGAATGAGCAAGTCAAATATGCCATTTCCTGAATTACCTTTGCCTCTTTTTCAAAGCGAGTCCTGGTGCTCAACCTTACATATAATAATAAGTTTTCATTCCCATGAAAATTAAACTCATTTCCATACAAATGATTGAGCACCAGGCCTCACATTCAAAAAGAGGCCAAAGGTAATTCGTAAATGGCCTATTAATAAATAGGACATGAAATTTGATGGAGCATCTAATAAAAAGTTAAGTGTCTGTTTGCATTATGTTCAAATCAGTCTACTCAAATGTAATAGATTGTACCTAGTTTATCCAGCCATATGAAAAGAAACCATTATTTAGCCAAAATGCACACTCTTCCATGTGGTAACCATGGTTATCAAGAACCTTTATACCACTGTCTGTGAACAGAGCAGTACTTCCAGGGAACTCTTTCCAAGAAGCATCTTGAAAGGTAAATTCATTGTAAATAAATTTACCAAACTCTCTTCTAAGGTCCCTCATGAAGCTGTGGTCTCCGGGTGATGGAGTGTAACGAAATGCAGGAGGGAAACCAAACAGTGTGATAAGATCCCACATGTGAAATGCAAATGTTGCTGGAAATCCAACCACATTCATCGGAAATGATGGAGCATTTGTAACCACATATCTGTAAACTGGGCTCTTGAAACCTTGAGATGCATTCAAGGCCAACACATCATTTGGGCAAGAAACTCGTATATCAGAGGCCAGGGACGAATAAGTAAACTGAGGAGACAGAGTTCCCTCACTGGGCTCACTTTTGTTATACATGGCAAGTACCAAGCTGACATTCTTTCCAATAAAAGGAGCCAATTTTTGCTTCATATAAACACTGTAGTCTTCCCAAGTAGAATTGGAAAAATCCTTCACTGGTTTAATATTTACCTCTTGTGCTGTTGTCCCAATAATTAAAGGGACATCATTTGCTTCCCCTTCTACCATGGCAAGAAGAGGAGGCTTGGGAACTACAACATTGTCAACAACGGCAACTGCCCCACAGAACACATTTTTCTGTGGCAGATCCATAAAATCAGCCATGCGCCAGTATGGGTATACATCCCATGGGATGGCAGCTTCCAGCTTCTCAGTAGTTAGCTGGTACAAACAGTCTCTTTCAGCTGCTGAGCTGTTTCTCACACAATCACAATTTTTGATGAAAATTTTGTTGTCATCTGCAGCATCTTCCCATGATTTGTTATAAACAGCTGAGGCACTCATGATAATTGCTCGATGGAATAGCCCAGCTGCACCAGGGGAGGCAAGCAAAGCCAGTTCAGATGTACCACCAGAGCTTTGTCCAATCAGAGTAACAGATTTTGGATCACCACCAAATTTATGGATGTTAGCTTTCACCCATTTTAAGGCTAATACCTGGTCCATGAAGCCATAGTTCCCTGAACTCTTGCTTGATGATGCCTCTGCTAAGGAGTTTAAAGCAAGAAAACCAAACACATTTAATCTGTAATTGAAAGAAACTCCAACAATCTTCATTTTTGAAACCATTTCCGGTGAAGGGTGAAGTCCATTCCAATCCCCAGAAGAATACATCAAAAATCCACCATGAATGTAAACTAAAACAGGGAGAAGTTTTTCAGTTGATCTGTGCTTTGGTGTCCATACATTTAAAAACAAGCAATCCTCACTGCCTATGACTTTTGTTGGATCTGGAGTGTGCAACACATCTTGCTGTGCACACCAACTTCCAAATTCACTAGCATCCAGAGTTCCATTCCAGCATTTGTTTATATCATCGTCACACGAGACCGGAGCTCTCCAGCGTAAATTTCCAACGGGCGATTTTGCATAAGGAATTCCTTTAAACACAACCGCATCACCCTCAAACTTACCGCGGATGACACCCGCTTTGATTGTCACTGTAATATGTTGGGTCTCCTCTAGCACGATTTGTTGGTATTCCTTGACTTTTCGAGAGAAATAATAATACAGAAGGCCTGACAGAATAGCAACAAATGCAGCGGCAGTTAATACAAATGCAATTCTCTTTTTTGTTCTTTGCTTCAATAAACACGATTTAGAACTGCCTCGAATGCTGTGTTGTCCTTCACTTTCGAACTCCAGTTCTTCTCGAATCGGAAGGAAAGGTGTTGATTCCCGAGATCTTCCCATTTCTGTGAGAAATTTCCAAACAAACTTTCTGTTCCACTGCACTTACAAGCCGTTAAAATCGCTTTTGGCGCACAATGTAGACCGTATCCTCCAATAAGTTAACGCAATACAAAACATAGGTATCACAAGGTATCATATTAACCTGCCGCCTATACAAAACATTCACCGAAATACTTCGATCAGAAAACAAAGTAAAAACCTGTACCAAAGAGCCGGTAAGTCACGTGAGGGGTAAATGATTACTGTTAGCGAGTGGGTTAGTAACGCCAGATACGGTATTGCGTGACATACAAACCCTCCCCGCCCCGTCAAAAGCTTCCAGCTTGCATGTAGCCCCCTATTCTTTCATCACCTCCAACACCGAAAAAAGACAAAACAAAACGAGACAAAAAAGAAAAATAAAAGAAAGGAAAAAAAAAGAAAACAGAAGAACGAGAGAATTAAAACAAAGGTGGTCAGTATTTGAAATTTTCAGTTACCTGATTTTATCAACTGAGCTATTAACGTAAATAATTGGCCACCGTAAAGAATTTATAACGCTGATGTTTGGGGCGTTAGCCTTTCTTCAATCGTCAAAGCATGGGTGGAAGGGTTTAAATCTCGAAACTTCAGCCTCAGAAACTCTTAACGGTGGCCTATATATATTATTTAACTCAACTGATAAAACCAATTTAACTTATAAAATCCCCGGTCCCACCTACGTAAACCCACAGTTTCTTTAAACATACCCTCTTTCACTCATTTGTTATATAAGCTTCTATTTTAAATAATGTCATAGGTCTTCAACCAAAATGATGCATAATGCATGCGATTTTCCTTAAAGCTGACTTACAGTTCAGAAATCAGAAAAAAAATTTGCTTACTTTGTGCTTCTTAACAGACCCACTCCTTTTCCAAAAAGGTCCCCCCCCACCCCCCTCGGTAATAAGGACTCACCTGATATCCTTGAAAATCGACAAGCCTTGGGGACTTATGTAAATGTCGACGGGAATACAATGTTACTGTTTTCAGCTCTTAAATATCGAAACACAATCTCTCCATTCCCAACCATTTGTTCACGGTCGTCCTTTAGAGGAAAACTTTCCCGAGACTCTTAGTGAGCAGTACTGTAAAAACTTTTATCCTTATTTCATCTATTTCATCTGATTACATTTTAAGTGATTTACTCAGCGCAGCGTAAGTCCTGATTGATCAAACTGGGATCGTAAATTTCATTACATAGCAATTGAGACGATGAATTTCGCCAGTGTCATTCAAATGTATTGCGCATGCTCAAACAAACTAAATAAGGAATCACAGTGACCTCGCGGATTAATATTCTCAAAGAATATTTCATTATTTGATGATAAAACTGGAGTCATCAGACTCGAAGCTAAAAAAGAAAAAAAGCTTGTATTTGTTACATATGAAGCTGTGTAGTCTGTGATTTGAATTTTTTTTACAAATGTGGGAGTGAAGGAATTTGGGTGGACGCCTTATCTCGTCCGAGTCCCCTCTCGTGCATTCTTCTCAGGAGAGGAAAAGGCTGCAAGCAATTTCTATTTTATTTTGTTTAGGCATGGTACATCACATTTCCAATCACGTGGTGGGCAGTTACATAACTTTATTGGAACATGAGTTTACACAAGGAGTGGGTTCCAATTCCACGGGGCTGACTTCAACCCCAACATGGCCGCCATGCAATTGTTCTGGTAACCAGCATGGCCTTTGTGACTTCATGTAATCATGACATTCGCAGGAGAGACCGAAGGGTCCGTTTCGAGTTCTCCCTGAAGTCTTTGCTACTAAAGAAATAAATTACAGGATTTACTGCCGAGTTTGTTAACCCGAGCGTGACTGCCCAAATATAGAAAGATTTCACTTTCTGCTCCGGGTCACTGACGAGAACATACCCGTATGGAACCCAACTGAGTGTAAATACACCAATCACAACAGCGACTGTCCTTGCCGCACGCTTTTCGGATTCTCGCCGTTTTTTCACCGTTGCGTTCCTGTACACAAAAACACGATCTTTACTGGAGGGAGTCGCGCGCTTTTTGTCCTCATTTTCGTGCGGCCGAAAGGTTGCTATCATGCGATGAGACACCTTAAAATGAGCCTTAGCTCGCAGCAGAAGTATTCCATAACTGCTCAATATAACCCCGTAACAACCTGCCAGTCCTATAAGAATTAATATCGAGGAGAGCTTAGTGCTCTTTCTCGCAACTTGACCAGTGATTCCTAAGACGCAAGGAATTCCCCATGTCACAAGTTGAATGAAAAGCATCTTTCTCCTCGTTAATATCTGTCTTTTGCTCAATGGCCTGGAGATGGCTAACAAGCGTTCAACGCTCATGAAAGCGAGATTCATAAGAGAAGCACCACACGTTATATACGCTGCTAAACGAAACGCATCTCGAAGGATGACTTGGCAGACACCTGTCATACGACTCACAATTAGAATGGCTTCCATGGGTTGGACAATAAGGTTAACGAGGAGATCAGCAACAGAGAGGCTGCAAATAAAATAGCACCACGTTTTATGAAGTCGAAAGCTTGAATACACAGTAAAGCAGACCAAGATGTTTCCGAAACCTCCAAACAAGGCAGAGAGAACATTTACACTGAACGCAGAAACTCCATCCAGTGAGCGTATTGTGCAACTTGAGTTGAACATTGTTACTGCGATTCAACTTCGTTAAAAGTCTGTGACACTTGTCCTCTTAACATTCAAGGCTTTTCTTCACTTCAAGTTATCATTTCAGCTCCGTTGTGAAAATGTTCTCGATTCGAAAAGGACCAAGCCATTAGCAACGTAAATTACATCTCATCTTAATGTAAAATGAAAACTTTCACATTTAGCAAGCCCGTGAGCTAGCAAATAATGATGTACACAAAAATAGATGAAATGTCAAGATGGCGGAGGGGTATTTGTATATGGAAATTAATTTAAGAGGATTTCAGTTGTCAGTTTAAATAATTCCCGAGCTTGATAATGAAGGCATTTTTTAACTGTTAAATTACGCCAACAGGTACACGGTGTTCTCAGCGTTCACATGAACTTATAATGTAGTTTTCATTTTATTAATTGAGAATCATAAATTTCATTGTGATCTTAAAAATTATAAAAATTCAGGATGTCTAAAAGGAAACAGATTCGATTTCTTTGTAAATATTAATCTTCCCAGCGACAAATATTACTGCTTCAGGAAAGGAGCATATTTATTTAAGCTAATCGTCAGATGCAAATTTAAGATTGTTTTAATGGTAAAAATGCGACTCTGTCAAATCGTCACATGATTCTTTCATAGTTTGGATCTCATTATTCGCTTAGCAATTGTCTCAAATTTTCATAATAACTATACCAGAAACAGGCTTTTACAATATTCACAGCAAATCAAGTAAATTCTTTTCATAATAACTATACCAGAAACAGGCTTTTACAATATTCACAGCAAATCAAGTAAATTCTTTTAGTAGCAGATATAAAATAATATAATTCAATTTTTTAAAATATTTTTTCAAAACTTTTTTTATATTATTCAAAATATTTGAATACGTATATCATTGCTCTAAACATAACTTACCGCCCTTTTGTCCAATTAATAAAAAACTACAAACAATCTACAATTTTGTGGCTTGAAACTTGATGGTGCAATCATTTAGATATGAAACTCTCCGCTAACTTGAATCCTGTTGTGATCTATAAAATGTTTTGTCGAGTACTCGGATAAAATCGCTTGAAATACATTGTTTGTATTTAAACGGAAACCGAAAATTGTCGTCAAATTGATTGAAAATAGTGTCGGAACAATTGTTTCAGTCAAAGTAATTGACATTAGTGGTACAGAAGAATTGTTAGTGCGTTCCAGTTCCAAAGCGCTGATTGTGGTGACAGGGGTGTGGATGGATGGCCTGAAGAATTCTCTTTTGTAACCTATCTTCAAAGCGATTGTCCGTAAAATATCAGACCAGGTCAGACAAGCAGATCCACCGAATTTGGCTCAAGTTTTGCATATAGACTTGGATAAGGGTTCTGATCACGACATAGATTCTTTAAGATTAGAATTTATATTGCGCGGGAAATTATTGCTCACGGCCATTTGGCATTTGACTATCGCCCTTAATAGCCGACATGACGTCATGATTAAATATTACATGCATCATACGTATTACATTGAATGTAAGCCGGATATTTTTTATGACGTCACGACGTTGATGTTTACACGGGTAAATAATTTACAAAATGGATATTACATAATAGAGATTCATGACCAATTTGAAACTGTAGAGCTGGCCAAAATTGTAAATTTTATACTAAGTCAAAAAAGGAAACCTGATGTGTCGTTGCCGTATACAGCTGATTCGAAGTGATATCGAAAAATTGGTGATTGAAATTGATAGTATTTATAGCCGTCAATCAAAGTTTTCTAAGGATACATGGTGATCCCGGAATATAGTCATTATTATTTCCTATTACTTCTCACTTCTCGTGATTAATAGGGTCGCCTTAACTCGGCCAGAAACCAATAACGATCGCCACTAACGGCACGTGTTCTCTGCTAAGACAATACCAATGAAAAATATTTGCATTTTCATTGCTGATCGATATGAAATACAAAAGTTCTAACATAAATAGCTCCACTGGAAATCGAACATCAAACGAAGCGAAAACATGGATTTGTGGACCTGAAATGAGAAATTCTGTCATCCCTACTTTATCAGGTACTGGAACTGGAGTCAGTTGTAATTTGTACTATCTGAAAAACTGCGCAACAAGATTTGAGAACCTGCCTAACAAGATTTGCTTTTTCCAGTTTTGAATAAGTCTTGACTTGATAAGTCCCGGGACAAAAGAAATCTTGCCTGTGTTTCGAGTTTGACTCAGTTGTCGCACTGTGAAAATGTTGAAAAGTTGCCATCTAAACAGGTAAATTATCAATGTTCTCTTTTTACCTAATATAATGTACCTCGAAAGCGATTGGCAAACTTTCTCGCCTAATGCATCCATAGGTGATTCTGTTTCGCGATTTAGCTACGCGTCTACACCTTTGATTCAGCGAAACTGATTTTGTTTTCGAATTCAGATCGCTCTCCCGAAAACAACAATTTAGATTTAGCTCAGTTAGAAAAGGTCTCTTTTTTTCTCAAACCGTTTTCATTCAAGTTGTGTATCTGTACGATATATATCAATCTTTTTTGTTAATTTAATTTTTAGATCTAGCTCCTAACAACATCCACATTCGGTCAACCCGCTCGAAAATCTTTGATTGCTTCATATTTTGCAAAGTTCCTTCGCAACATTTTCAGTCACTTACTCATTTGTACATTTTTTTTTCGCCGAAGTATTCCTCTAACAAGCTAACGGCTGAGATCGAAGCACATCATCTAGAAAGTGTTATATAAGTGCTTCAAGTATGATGTGTGAATAAAATTTATGTTGCAGTTAAGTTATTGTCTTTTCGCAGCCACGCGAGGAAAAGCCACAATGATATCTTGCCATCATTCTATTGACTGTGTAGACAGAATTATATTCTTAGAGTTTCTTGACTACTGCGTTAGATCTGGAAGGGCAACAAAAAAAAGCCATTCTGTTCTATATTGATGTTCATAATTTCGATGCCTTTTTGATGGCCCTAAACCACATTAAAAATTAATATGTACAACGTTATGGATAAATTTAAATGCAATTTGAATAAAATTCTAATTATTTAATTCATATATCTGTTCTTATAAACCATTGACCTGAAAGAGAGAAGTTTTTATTTTGTTGACGGATCGAAAAGGATATCACAAGTCTAATGCGTTTTCACCATAGCAGTACTTCTTGTGTTTAATCAAATTTGAGACACATACAAATCAGTTTTGCTTATTTGACCAATGAGGACATCGAAAAACGGCACCTTTGTTCCCCAAGCGCATGTTTGGCGCCCTTCCCTACACTCGAAATATGATTGGCTGTTCTTACGTCCTCATCGACTCATTTTGATTGGTTAGAATTGTTGGCTACAGTTTTGGCTTTACAGTAACTTACACTTTAAGTCTTTTCCAAAGAAATCTTGCTAAATATTGCGACCATATTTTTGAGAACAGAACAAATTGAATCAATAAAGTATGTATTGTTTTTTCCTATGAGTTAACAATTACCGAGTTACGCATCGCTTGGCACACATCTTCACCGTAAACACGAAGGCGCGCTATAAAAGGAGCCTTCGGTCCCAATGGACCATTTGTCAATCAACCGTCGTGTGATGTAGAACTCTTAGAGTCAAGTCAGCTTGAGCTACAGCTACTCCAAAGCAGTGAAAAGCGGGCGCATTCCTCAAAATTGTTCTATGTCTTCATCACAATACAAGAATTTTTGAGATTTGTATTTCCTTTCTCCAATGGAAACTGTCTTTATTTGTGGCGGTAAATTTGAGATCGAAGTAGGTGGTTCGCACGTTACCTCATGCCACCATGCTGGTGGAAGTAAACAATAGATATCTCATTAGCTCCTTTTGTTCGTCTACCAGCATTTAAATTTGACCCGCACACGTCAACGGTGAGTGACAAATGAGCCTAGGTCTTCCCAGGGAAGACTTCCTCATATAGCGCGCCTTCGTGTTTAAAGAGAAATGATTCTAGGGAAGCGAAAAAGAATAAAAAGGGTTTTTAGGAGAAAAAAAGAAGTTAAAAAAGATGAAGAGTGGAATTTTCTCAACTGGAATTTTATTCAAGGACTCCTGGAGATTCAACTCCACCTTGAAGGATGTGTTATTCATTTAAAAAAGAGATTCGTTTAAGCGGCACAAGGAATATTGAGTAAGAACCTTGATGCCGATGTCAGCTATATCGTTGATGTTAAATTGTTAAATCATAATTTTTAATGCTATATCAATATGTGAAATTTAAATGTGGCAACAATTCCCGAAAACGAAATATATTTCAATTTATGCGTGATGTACACTTGAAATGGTTTGGTTCACCGCTACAGGTACCGCAAGTTTTTCAAAAATAATAACATTAACAACTTAATATGGCGAAAATTGAACTGGTGTGATAAAGCCATTACATAACCCATTTTAAAGAAAATGTTCTTGTGTAAGCTTAGGTAAATATCGCAGAGCGAAATGGATGAAAGAAGGCAAGATACATGGATTGAATATAAGCGGTGAAAATTCGACAGATCCGAGTTTTTTCTTTTGGCCAGAGAACCCGTCAGAATCAGAAATTTTGTTATTTATTATTTACTAAACAGTCTCTTAAGATCATGACTAATTAAGTGATGGGCATAATTCAATTATGTGAGTGAAATGTCACCGTAAGTGTTGCCATTTGCACTTTCCCTCTGAATTTATTTTCTTTGTTAATGTTCCTCCATTCTAGGGAAGAATGACGCATTTAAATCTACAAGAAAAGTACTTGACCAACATGAAGGAACTTCGGATAAAACTATATAGCCCTTCACCAAAATGCGCACACGGTAAGCTTCAGTTTACGCTTCTTTATACTAGTGCCGGAACAAACGTAGGACAAACAAACGACAATGCGCAAATCAAATTACGGGTGGAAATAAAAGTGCCGTAGACTGCGACGTAACAATTTGATTCAGCCGTGATTGTCGACGCACTTTCATCAATTTTGAAATTATTATTTTTGTCATGGCCACCTTTCGGCTCGCCACCGATTGATTTATATGAAGATCGTTCTTGAAACAAAAGTACACCCGGTAATCACAGAAGTTCAAACTCAAATAGTTCATCATGTTACCTGGATTCAACAAACACCCCCTCTAAGGGGAAGTGGACATCGAAAAAGAAAAAAGCGCTTTGGTTACCGTGACAATTTGTATGAATTTGAGAGCGTAACGAGAGATTTGAGACCCAATATCAACCGATTACAATTTTAAAGATGACACAATTTACTCTGCAATATTTTATTCCTGAAATGGTCAGATTCGAAATTTGGTTGATTATCTACTTTAGAGCTCTGTTCTAAGTATAACAATGAATTAGTCCGTTTCTGCCATTTTATAAACCTGTTATTTAGGTAGGCAACCTGTAATAGGTGGGTTCTAGCAAGAGTCCTGCGGCGTCAGCTTAGTACAGGCTTCACTGTTAATGGGTCTCTGGCAACTTTGTCTCTTTCTTAAGCTTTAAGATAAGAGAATACTGAGTTGAACCACCTAGTTCTTAACTGCCGGTGGGTTGTAGATTGCAATTGTGAGGCGTGAGTAGTCCAGTGGTCAGTGCGCTGGACTCTGGGTTAAACGGCCGGGGTTCAAGTCCTGGCTGGGGCTTAACGTTGAGTCCTTAAGCAAGACACTTCACTCACATTGTTTCGTCTTCTCGGATAGGACGTAAAGCCGGAGGTCCCGTCTCTTAAAGGGTAAGGGGTAAGAGACGTTAATTTCCCACGCACGAGATTACTGTGTGCTGGATGTCCTCCCCTGGGGTGGGTTGGGTGGGAAAACAGCAGGTCCACATCAGCTTATACAGTTGCCAATAAATTCAACCTGCTTGAACAAATAAACATGATGATGATGATGATGATGATGAATGTATGTTTAAGGGACCTGATGCAAATTGGACATAAATGTCTAACCAATGGGAGAGCTCAAATGAGCTTCAAGGGAAAAGTCTGAACACCCTTTTTGCTATTTAGTTCCAGTTTTGTTCCAAATGTATTTAAATGAATGACGTTTTGAAGCGTCATCAGAGACCAACAAATGCAAATGTATTTTGATTAGCACTGCCACAGCTTGTTTCGAAGCACTTTTTTATTCCGGTTAGAGACCCCCTC